AATATACAATAAATATTTTATTTTTATAAAAAAGTACGATTTAAATAAATTTATTTTTGCTTCCCACGCAATACAAATTAATTTTCAAATGTTAAAAGCTGCAACCGCAGAAAATACAAAAAAATACTGCTAAGCTTAGCTAAAGCAAACCGAAACCCAGACACAAGCAAAAAGCCCTCAGCCAAACTTAAAAAAGCTTGCGCATATTTGTACTTGAAGGCAAAGCTTTGCCTTGAACAAGTTGGCAGCGCCGCACAGAGAGCGCACAATCAAGCAGGCGAAGCTTTTTATCGTCATTATCGAAGTATCGCAGCTGCTGTTGTTGCTGTTGTTGTTGTATGTATCTCTTGTTGTGTTTTCTGCTGCTGCTTGCTTCTTTTACATATTTTGCCAAGCTTGAGTTGGCCCGTTAATTAATTTCATAAGCTCGCTCGCAAGCTCCCAACTCAGAGTCGTTTTAGCCGCGCTACCAATTGGACGTCAATTGTCGCGCTCGCGTTCTTAGCATATCCCAACTATTGCCACTTTGCCTTTTCGCCGTCTCGCCATCTCGCCGCCTCGCCGCGTCCTGCCCATAAACATTACAAGCCGAAGCCTTTGTACACACTGCTCGTGTGTGTGTATGTGAGTGAGTGTCAGTGTGTGTGCTTCGTGCGTCTATTGAGCTTGCAAAATCTTTGTAAAGTGAAACGTGAAATCACTTTTTTTGGCCCATTGCCAATTTTGTTTCATTTTTATTTTTGATATTCAAGTGAAACAGTGTGAATTTTAAACCATTGTTGCGGTAAGTTACGCTCAGGTCACTTTTCGACTACCAGTACTCCATAATGTTGCTGTTGTTTCTACTGTTTCGGTTGTTGTTGTTGTTAGTTAGTTATGCGCATGTGCGGCAGCGTTGACACACTTTCTGCCTTCGCCTGCAGCAACAGGCAGCCACAGAAAGTCCGGCCTGGCATTCAAGTGCCGCTCGAACGGATTGGCAATAAAAACAATTACCACTTGGCTGCTGCTGTTGCCTGCCGCCTGCAGCATTTCGTCAGCGATTCAATCTAGCCGCCTATAGATAATCAGCACCATCAGCTGCTGCTTTGGGCTTCCATTTACCCGTAATGAATTTACATAAATACATAAAATACCTTTAAGGTCTTAATCTCACGATAAATCGATAACACTTTGCATAACTACACTTAACTAAAGGGTGGTAAAATGTAATTAAAAGAATGTAATCGCCGATTTGGCCTTGAAGGTGAAGTTTTAATTGAAAGTTGAAATTTAATGAGAAGATTTTTTTTTTTTTTTTTGTATTTTCTTTATTTATAAAATATGTCGACTGTATGCATAAGCGGCTAGACTAGTTGAATCGTATATGGGCCTCTTAGGAGTGGCTCCAGGAATGTGCTGGCTGTGACCGTTTTAATGTATTGTTTTTGGTCAAGAATGTGATTCAAATTATTTTCTCTATTTTTTGGACTATGTTAAATAAGTTAACTAAAATAGTTATCAAAAATTAATAAGATGTTTGAGACTTTCGGTATTAATGTCGTCCAAAAGTACCAATAACAACAAAAGGACTGAGCACACCTCGTATTCTCATTTATATTCTTTTTTTTTTTTTTTTTTATATGTAGTCGGATTAAAGTTCAGCAACTCAGGTCCAATTGCCTGTTCTTTATTTATAAACTGCGAACTTTCTTCGTAACTTGAAAGGTGTTTTGCTCAAACTTAGGATATACATGTGGATGGGATTTAACTGAACTGATTTGTTGCTATCCGACTATTGTTTTAATCTTGCGAATATGTATATTATATATACCTTTCAAGGTTATACCTTTATAAACACTGCACCTTACCCAAGCATT